CTTAGTGTATGAGTTAGCAGCCCCCAAATTTCCAAAAAAGACTCTTTTCCGAAGCTGATGCCAGCAGTAGAATCCATGTGGTAGGATTACGGCACGTATCCATGTCACGGAGATTTCGATAGCAAACCTTTGTAAAGATGTAAATGCTTGGATCTTACGGTCCAAATGTTGAAGTGCCGTGCGTTATTTCGAAGTTTTAGTCAATACTGTGCCATTTTAGCACTGTATGGATACGTAATATTAGCACGAGATATTCTACGATTCTACAGTAATTTGCTGTAACGGCAACGATGGCGAGCTCTTTGACTGTTTTATAAGAGTTGTGGAGATGACAAAGAATTCACAATTAGAGAACATGTATATATCTTGGTCTTTGAGACATGTTCCTTTTCACTTGCAAATTTGGAAATTGTCGATCGATTTTACACCCACTCGTACTACTCATTTTAAAAATAGCAAAAAAACTGTATTAGACATGTGGCTGGTGCTGCCACTACTTTTGCTGGTCTCTGTCTGGGCCCAAGAAACCAGCGTTGAACCCCAGCCTGGTATGGTGATAGCACAGCGATTAGCTGAAACCTTACCTCGTCTTCCTAACGTGATATCTGGCCAGATGGAGGGTAAACCTGAAGAGTTAAGGTAGTTCTTACCGTAACCATCTGATTATTCTAAATCGTATCTTTTCAGAAGCATGATTTCACACATGTTGGGAGATGGTCTGATCAGCCAGTTGGTTACAAACCCACTTGGGGTAAGTCCATGGAACTATAACCTCATACTGATCAGGAATGAATTTTTTAGGTGGCTGAAGGAATGGGTGTTCAGCTCAGCAACCTTGGGATTAACAAAACTGATGTTGAGAAAAAGATGCTGTTGGGAAGCGGAAATTCCAGTGCCCTTCCGCTATTTCCATTGCGAGTTTTTTGTTTTACTTTCTATAATTTGACCTTCAAACTGTTCATGTATCAAGGATACTCTTTCATATTTTTTATCAGACAATTTTCGAAGTTCTGGGACTATATTATCTGGGGAAAGTGTA